TCCTCCTGGATGAGGCCAGAGCCGAGTTTACACAAGATGATCTGGAGAGAAGGCTTCACCCAAGGCTGGAGCTCGGGTTTAAGATAGCATAGACCACACTGATTCTTTCTTCAGGATGTTTGGTCTCTATTATTGAATTTAAAACTTACATRCAAGAAAAAATATCTTTTTCTGTGTCCTGTCCAGAATAATTTATTCTACTGGACAACACATCTTGTATTAAAGATGATAAAAGAGACCTTAGGAAAAGCAAATTTGGGGCATTCCGTTTTTTTCCCTAGAAACGTTTTGAAAGCCTGCAAGTCTAGAATAGCCTCTGACATTTTTTCCAAGCTTTATTTTTGCATGGACCTGCCAGAAAGTCCGTGGTATATTTAGAAAGGYGCTTCCCTTCCTTGAGAGCTCCTGACAGGCAGACCCCAGCCCCAAACCTTTATTTCCCCTGCCAGAGGGGTTTCTGCTGCCCTCCTGAAGGTGATTTTCCCTCCCATCATGTCATGGGGCCACTGCAGAACTCCCACTTGGCCGGGAGCARGGATCAGGAGCAGAAATTCAGCTGCTCCATGGGTGGGTCACGGGCAGGTCAAGCCCTTTGCAGCTCTCTCCTGGCATAAGCAGCTTTAATTCCATGCTCTGCCTGTCCAGCCCTTCCCAGCACATCCCCAGCCCTGCTTTGCCATCCCCACATTCTGTTTAACCCTCAGGAGTTGCACTTCTGCCCAGGGGGAGTTGGCAGCAGAGCTGGGCTTTCCCTCCCCCTGCCCAGCCTGTGGGAGCRGGATTGAGCTGGGATTGAACTGGGATTGAACTGGGATGGTGAGGGGGTTGCTGGTATAAATTGGGGTGGATAATTTTAGAAGGCTGAAGGTCTAAGCTGGCTCACCTCAGAGCCAGCAGCATCCAGGGATTTCAGAGAGGAGAGTCCTGACCCTAATCTAATTAGAGCAGCAGTGGGAAAGTGAGGAGTCCTAGAAACCCCTGAGTGGATTAAGAGGTTGAAACCTGAAAATTGCTCAAACTGAGTGTGTTTTACCCAAATTGTGCAGAGCTGAGCTGTTCAGACAAAATCATRCACGCAGGGAGTCCCTTTGCAGTGAGACAACTTAATCTGCTGCAATTCCAGACTTAATTCTGGTTTGGGAAGCTCAGTCTGCCTCCATCTGTGATCACTGCTTGATGATAAAGTTAATTTTGTGGATTATTTTCTCCACTGTYGGCACTGAAGAGTAAGAAGGGTGATGTAAAAAGGCTCATCCATCAGCTGTGAGAACAGGAATCCTGTTTGGGTGGAAAAATAAATATCCCAGTGCGGTGCCTTTGGGTCTGTTAAAGCAGAATTGGGAAAAATAATTGGAGCAGTGCTGATCAACCTTCTGCTGCTGCTCAGGCGTTGTGTATTTGTGGGGCTTGGGGTATTTTAGTGTTCTCCAGCAGTTCCTTGGAGAGGGAAAAGCCCCTCCTCAGGGAATTCTCAGCTCATTGTGCTCCTGCTGCTCTTCCTGCTCCATGGGGAGCAGCTGGATCCGGYAAAATCCACAACCAAGCAGTGACTGCTGTGAAAAAGTCATTTTTGCAGCCTGATTCTGCTGAATCATTGATTGAGGATCTG